AGTACCCGTCGAGCTAAGTAAGAGAGTGCAGTTGACATGATGGTACTAAAATGTACTGCACGTAGGAATTATGAATGACCTGGCACGTATTGCTTATCGTAAATGTGAATGCACTCTTTAGTTTCACGCTGTTAGGCGCCACACTGAACATCGGATCCCTTGTCGGAGCAACTGCCGCCCTTCTCCAGGTACTTTTGGTGAGCTTCTTCAGCGTCCCAGAACTGCTTGGCCTCCTCAATCTCCGTGACAATAGGCTTGTCCAATGTCTTCTGATGCTCCTCCTTGGACGCCAGCGCGATCTTGTGTTGCTCCTCATTCTGGTAGTAAATGCCTGAGCGATACTGCGTGCCAACGTCGTCCTCCTGGCGGTTGAGTGACGTTGGGTCGTGAATGGTCCAGAACACCTTGAGTAGCTCCTCGTACGTCACTTGACTCTCGTCAAAAGTGATCTTAATGGACTCAGCATGGTTCGTACGGCCGGTAACTACCGTGCGGTACGTGGGGTTGTCGGTCTTGCCTTGCGAATAGCCCACGGACGTCTCGATGACGCCAGGTACGCGGTCGAATGCACGTTGCACGGCCCAGAAGCAGCCAGCGGCGAACGTGGCGATGCTGTACTTGGGGTTATTGGTCATGGGAGTAGTCACTTGATGCGCGGTGAGGAGAATGCGAGAGTGAGGCTGCAGACGAAGGTGACATCGACAGTGAGATCAGCAAACACCTTTGATGTCCAATGAGAGCTGTGCAACTTGCTGGGTCAAGGATCCGTGCTGCGTGATTGGTGTTTGAGATCGCCTGGCACTCGACTTCTGGTGGATCTCCATCCTGGAGTCCAAGCGACGACAATCGGTCGTGCAAGGGCCACTTGATCATGGTTGCAGCGAAAATGAACCATTGGTGAAAGTCACCAACAGCGTCGTCAACAGCGTCGTTCATGGATGTATCTGATACCATCGGAACTAAATGTGAATGCGATTTGCGTGACGCGCAGCGCGTCGTGCAGCAAGGCGCGTTCATTCACCTTGCGCGACTCGGAAGAGGCCTTCCGTCGCTTGGAAGGCCTTGTCGATCACTTTACTACTTGACACCACCCACTGAAGCGTCTTCTCAACCACGTACCATGGCCATTCAAGCTATTCAAGTGACTCCGATCCAAGTTCCGAACGGCTCCGCCGTTGATTTCGGTGCTGCCATCACCAATGTCGACCTGGAGAACATCACAGACAAGGACTTTGACGTCATTCGCAATACGCTGTACAACTCACACGTGGTTGTGCTTAAGAACCAGCAGGGCGTCTCTCCTCGCGCGCAATACGAACTGACCAAACGCTTCGACCCGGCCGCATCGACCTACGGCCACGGCAAGACGCTCGACGTCAAGCGCTCTGTGCTACACCCGGATCTGAAGACCGTTCCACACCAACCGCAAGTCCAGATCATCGGACACGGACACTACGATGAGTACGAAGGTCTCAAGGACTTCACGCTCAAGCACCCGCACCACAAGGTGTTCCACAAGACAGCGATCCCCGAGGAAGACGATCTCAACTACACACGGTTCTATCGTTGGCAGATCGATGCGGCTCTGTATAAGCTCAACCCGCCCAAAGTGACGTCTCTCCTGGCAGTCAAAGTGCCTGCTGGACGTCGTCAAACTCTCCGTTATGACGACGGCAATGGAGATGAATTGGATGTCGCTTTGGGCACTACTGCATTCGTTTCGGGTCAGAAGATGTATGAGCTTTTATCAGAGAAAGACAAGGAGTTTGTTCGTGGTGCCAAGGTCGAGTATGCACCACATCCGTACGTATGGATGTCGCCTGCGCGTTCACGTTCGGATGGACTCGGTATGGTCACCGAGGGGCTAGAGCTGCCTTTGGATCGGCTCCCACCAATTGACAAGAAAGATATCAAGATCCTACCCATGTGCTGGAAGAACCCCGTGACTGGTAAACTTGCACTTCAGATCCATCCGAGTGCCACCCGTGCTATTCACCTTCCAGATGGGAGCAAGATGACCTATCTGGAAGAGGTGCGTGAGCTGGTACACCGCTTACAGCGTCCAGCGATCGCCCCAAAGTACGTCTACGCACATGAGTGGGAGGAAGGAGATCTGGTGCTGTTCAATAATCAAGGAGTCATTCACTCCGTAGTGGGTGCATTTGGCCCCGGTGAGAAGAGATTGTTTCGCCAATGCAACCTTGCAAGTAGTGAGGGCGTCATGGGACCCGATGGGAAGCTGTACGAGTAAGTGTAGCCATCATTCGCTAGTCGCGCTGGAAGAGACACTTGTAGTTTTCAACACCGGAATGATTTTATCGGCATACATTTGTATTAATGTCCTTGTGGTGTTGGCGGCTTTGGTTATTATTTTATGTTAAGTTTTGGAGGATACGAACGGACTATTTGGAGTCCGAGAACCGCTTTGGAATTACTGAAACATTCGCCGAAGCTTTGTACTACGGCATCGGGGGCGACGCTGTTGGCAGCAGCTTGATGTTTTGTCCGATGAAGGTCAGTGAGAACATGGGACACAGTTTCTTGGCCTGGATGCCGCAGAACGCGACACCGAGATTCCGTCCGTTCACGTAGAAGCTCAGGCGGCCGTACTCCATATCCAGCAGTACGCCGACGACATCTCCGTCCTTGCACGGGTCCGCATAGTACTCGATCGTGTCGTGGAATTTGTGTCCGGTGGCACACGAGATGCCCCAGAACACGCCGCGACTCACAACACTACTGTTGAGCGCAAGATCCGCAGCCGCCACACCGACAAACACTCCTTCTCCACCTCTGGCACTCTGCAGCTTCACTTCCCAGTACTTAATGCCACATGCCACCTCGCAGTTTCCCAGCACTGAGCCGCAGCCTTTGGCAACCTGCACTGCACGCGTGTTGTCCTCCTGGAGCAGCATGTAAAACGAGCATTTCTTCTTATCGAACTGCACCATGGGCGTCTGTAGCACCAGTACTGGGTGCTCAGGTCCCGCTCCAATAGTGCACTCTCCCAGCTTAAGGTGCGGTTTGATCTCGTGCTTGCTCACACTGTCCGTCTGTACGAGCGACACGGCGACATTAGGCCCCAGTTCCAGGTGGCGACGCACGGCGTCCACCATCTCCTGACCAGAGCTCGTGAGCGCAAATGATAGCGAGAACTTGATGTGCTGCGTCTTGGACAAAGCGTAGAACGTGAAGAGCGGCACGGTCGCTACCAGGTCTGAGTGGACATATGCGTGTCCCCATGGAAATTCGACGTGCGCGAAGCCCTGGCGCTCACTGGGGCTCGCGTCCTCAGGCGACGCACTCTGTGGCTCATCGTCGTGTAGCGATCCGTAGCCAAAGGGCGTCGCCACGCGTTGAAGTGGCGGAGAACCCGGAGCTTGAGACGCCATCATCTTGAAGCAGTTGACTGTCGATACTGAAAATGCCGCAAGGTCGGAGTTCGCACTTATTCGGGACATACATTTCTGAAGATGATGCAAAGACACGAAACGACACACTGTAATACTTAATATAGTTCCACATGTCCCTCCCCAAGGTCTGCTTCACTTTTAAACAAAAATCCTTCTATAACTTATGCACCTCTCTACCATCATACCTTTTGTAAAGCATACCCTTGTTGAAGTGGTAACTTGAAGCTCGGTTCTTTGTCCGCATTCACTCTGACAAAATCCTACGGCTAATGGGCGCTACGTGCTGCCGCTGTCAGCACTTGGACGACCCGCTGCTGTCGCTGCCCCGTGCCTCCGCCTCCGCCATGAGTGCCAACTACAACCAGTTCTACGTGCCTGCACCTCTCGCCGCGTCGAGCTCGAATTCTTCTTCCTCGTCCTCTTCTCTTGCCAATTACGTGGCCTTCCCCTTCCCATTTGTCTCGAAGCCCAAGAGCGGCGCTCGCAACAAACGCAATAAAAGCAGGAGCAAGAGCCACGGCAAGAAACCACACAGCTCCCACAACGGATCGCACTCACGAGTTACAGTGCCCTACGTCGGCGAGCACTGGCGTAAGACTTTAAGGGGTAGATATGCCCCACTTTCTCTACTGGAGCTCAGTGTACGCAATATCTGCGCCCAATTATTGGTACATCACGAGGACGCATTACAAGCCGGCGCTCTACCGCCTGAATTGGCTTCCAGTGTGCTACAGCGGCTCAAACGACACTATGTGCTGGACAAGCCGCAATTCCAGGCTCTAACGCCATTCTTACTGCTAGAGTGGAACTTGGCAGACCAACAGGACGTAGAGGACTCGTGGTTCGATGATATCCCGGAGGCAACGCTAGAGAGTGTGAAGAGTATTGACGTATCCGGGTGTATCCATCTACAGCAATTTGGATCCGAGTGGGGACGACATGTCAACAGACTGCCAGAGCTGCTGGTGGCGTCGTTTCAAGGATGCACAGGACTGTCGAAGGAGTCAATTGAGACGCTCAAGTTCTCGACGAAGTTGACGACACTCAACTTGTCTGGCTGTGTTAATGTGGATGACAAGTGCATTAAGACACTGAGAGAGCTGGAACACCTGAAATCGCTGCAATTGGTAAGAAGTCAATACGTTTTCTGTACTTTGCATGAAGCTGATTGGTATTTACTGTATGGTAATCGCAGGTTGGATGCCATAAGCTGACGGATAAAGGAGTCAAGCGGTTATTTAAGCTAACAGAACTGGAAAAACTGCGTCTAGGACGCTGTAGAAAGGTGACGGATGAGGCTTTTGATGGGTTTGCAGCCTCCTTCCCGAAGCTGCGGGAACTTGACGTAGCAAACTGTCGGCTGAGGTAAGTTTTATTTGTGCTAAATGACTTGAAAGTATGGCTAACGACCAAGCATGGTGGATAGTGAGAGAGCTATGCAGCACATTGGTCAGATCAAGAGTTTGGAAGCCCTGGTGATTCGTGGTTGTCAAGACATCTCTGACGACGGCATGGCGTCACTTTCTGAACTGACCAACCTCAAGTATTTCGATGCACGACACTGCGGCAAGATCCATTCCATTCCAACGGAGTGGACGCAGCTCGAGGTTCTCCTGCTCGGATACACTGCTTTTGCTGAGTCAGATACAGCTGTCTTACAGTCCTTGACCAAGTTGCAAGAATTGGAGCTTCGCAAGTGCCGGATTATGAAGAGGTATTTTTCTAAGACTATAAAACGCTGGGACGATTCACCTAACGTATTTTTGCATGCTTTGGAGTACAGAGGATTTCAATTTATTAGCCGCCTCAAACACCTCGAACGTCTCGAGGTGGCAGAGACCACCCTGACTGACTCTGCACTGCTGGAAATTTGCAACGGTGTCAGAAACCTGAAGGCGCTCAACATTTCGAATACAGAGATCAGCGATAACGGAACGTCAGGCCTAGCAAAGCTCCAGGAGCTGCGTATTCTTCGGTTGGATACATCAGGCATCACCAATAGAGCGCTGGCGAACATATCGTTTCTTCCGCAACTCGAGAGACTGGACTTGTTTGGCGCAAAGTAAGTGCCGTACCGAGCCGACAATGTAGTGATCATTTGATTTTAACGCTGTTGTGTACGTAGCATCACCGATAATGGGCTCATCCACCTGATTCCGCTGCACAATCTCCAAGAGCTGACGATATGTGGAGGCAACATCGGCGACCGTGGTGTGGGGCTCATTTCGAAATTGACGTCGTTGACGTCTCTAAACCTGAGTCAAAATAGGTAAATGCGTGTTCACTTTTGATCTCTCTCTGCTCTCGCAACTGACAAATACGTCTTCCCAACAGAAATATCAGGACCAAGTCGCTGTTTTATCTCCGGTCGCTAACAGGCCTGCGATGCCTGAATTTGTCCAACACAGGGATCTCTGCACTCTCGCTTCGTCATCTGTCTCGTAAGTCCATGTTGCCTTATCATCTTAGTGTTGTTAATACTGATTCAACTTGTGTAGCTTTGAAGGAGTTGCAGTCCTTGTCCGTCTACGGGTGCTCGTTGTCACAAGGACATATTGACGTCTTGAGAGGTACGGATGATACTTTATCATTGTCCTAAACTGTGGCCAATGATTTTCTTGTGTTGCGTGTGCAGAAATCTTGCCCGAATTGAAGTGTTTGCGATGCACATGAAGGGGACGGCTACTGCGTTTGAAGTTGTTGTGAGGACACATTTCTTGTTGGATGCAAACTATGTATGTGGACGCAGGCGTATTGTATATTCTAAGAGATAACTTTGATGTGTACTGCAATATTTGTAAGGTGGTTTCGAGTTTTTATTTTTGACGCGATAGGTGAAGCGGCGTCATTCCATCCCTGTGCTGATGAACCGAGGCTGCAACCAGCTGATACTACCGAGGTGAAGAAGCAGCGGTGCAGCGATGCAGGCCCGACAGGAGAATGCACTTCGGCGCATGGAACAGGATTATGACAGTCGCATGGAGGAACAGGTAGAAGATCTTCGCGATAAGATGAGGCTGCTGCGTACGTGTTACGTGAACCCTGCAATAGTGATGGTATATTGGCTAACACTTGCATCTATCGTCGTTTGCAGAGGTGGACAGAAAGAGCAACATCGATCTACTCGAGTCCAGCAAACAAACCAACAAGGATTACATTCGCCAACTGAAGAACGAGAATCGAGATCTCCGCAAAGCTCTCGCCGACATGAAGCGAACTTCTTCGGCAGGTGCTGCTGGCTCACAAGGCCTAGGCCTGTCAGCGTTGGTTGGAGTAACCGATGATACAGATGAAATCGCGTCAGCCATGCAGCAGATGAACAAGGTTCGCAAACAGCACGACGACCTAAGGCATCGCGTGCATTCGCAAACAGCGTTGCTGGAGGAGCTGAAGGACGAAGTAAAAGATCTCGAGCTGGAGTCTAAGAAGCCGAGTCTAGAAGATACACCCGAGACCCGCAAGATCCGAATGCTGGAGAATCGACTTGATAAGGCCATGATCAAATTCAACGAGGCGCAGAGCATTCGGAAAACGTACGAGCAGATCGTCAAGCGCCTCAAGGATGAACGTATCGGGTTTGACAATCAGTTGGCCGCTATTGAGCGCGCTCTAGCGGCCAAGCAACACGACTACGATGAGCTTGTGTTGCTCTCGGCAGATGCTGCTCATGCGCGTGAAACGATCCTGTTGGAGCTGGAGAAGGCACGAAGTCAACATGAAGATGAGAAGCGACATCGCGAGAAGGAACTCCGAGAGAAACAGCAGTACGTGAAGATCCGTCTTGAAATGACGAACAGAGTGGACAAGCGAGAGAAGCACAAAAGCTCAGTGATAGCACGAGACACCGGAGACTTAAGCTGCGAAGGTGAGAACCATCTCAAGGCTTCGTTGATGTCTACCATGATACAGCAGGGAGTTGTGGGTGAAGAGAAGAAAGAACATCGCAGTAAGATAGACATTTTCGAAAGCGCCTTCCGCAAGATCAAGGAAGCCACAGGTGTCAGTGATGTGAACGAAGTTATCCAGAAGATTACAAGTCAGGAAAGCACGACCGATAACTTGTTGAACTTGTCAAAGGAGAACCAAACCCGATTAGAGCGACTGCAAGCAGAACATTCGGTGCTCAAGGCTCGTGTCGAGGAGCTCAAGTACAGTGGATCAGGCGGTGGCCACCGACGCAAACTCGTGGACGATCATGAACAGAATTTGGTCTTGGCTAGTACGAAATTGGAGCGAGCTAAGCTGAAGTATGAGCGGTTGGCCAAGGTGCTCATTGGTGTTAAAGCTGGAGTCGAACATCTCGTGGATAAGATGGAGAGCGTCCGTGAAGATGACCAGGTTATCATTGTTACGGACGACACTCTTGTGGAGGCGCTTGCAGAGAGTGAGATCACTTTGACACATCTATTGAGTCAGATCAAGCTTGCAGGAGCTGCAGAGTCATCGATGGACTCATCGGCTGTACAACAGAAGAAGGTTGACAACACTCGTGTACCTGTGGCAGCATTGAAAACCGCAATGGCAACTGGCAGTCTCATCCCCCAAGGACTGGGATTGGATGCAGACATTCTCGTCGCAAGACCATACAATCAACGTATCGCGTTGCCTGGCACCGATGGTCTTACTGCTGAAGAACTGGAGATGGACGACATGGCGAATGGAGGAATGTTACTAGACGACACTGAAGAAGCTTTGAGTCGGGATCGTGTCAAGCGGGCATCCTCTCAAGTCATCATGGCACAGGACAAGAAGAAGAAACGTGTGCTCAAGAAGAAGCTCAAAGAAAGCGGCAACGAGTCATCGGACGAGGAAGGTAGTGCTGGGCCAAGTATTAGCGGTAACACTACAAACCAGATCGATAGTTCAACCCGAGGGCCACCTACACAACGCTTAATATCCTCCAAGAAGAAATAAAAGCTCGACGTCTCGCACACTTGTGTATTTCCTACCTGCACGTTCATAAATCTCACCTAAAACGTACATTTTAGAAGCTAAAGTGGTGGTCCGGCTTGAAGCCCAGTTCCTCCAGAGCCGGGAGCACTGCGAACTTAAGCATCGGCGGAGGTCCGCACATGAAGATCTGGACATCCGGGGCCGCAGCAGGCAGGTGCTTCTTGATCATATCCGCCGTCACGAAACCCGTCGAGTACTTCCAGCCGTCCGTGGCCTTGTCTACAGTGTACCAGAACTTGACGTTGGAGTGGTTGGCAGCCATCGCTTCGATCTCCTCGCGGCACAGAATATCGGCCTCGGTCTGATTGGCGAAAAGCAGGTAGAACTCCGTCTTGTCCTCGGGGTCCTGCAGCGCTCGACGAATCACTTGCAGCATGGGGGTAATACCGGTGCCACCAGCAATCATTCCGATCTTAGCAGCTTTACGGACCTCGGGCACCACGTCACGCACGCGGTGTTTGATGTGGATCTCGCCCTTGCCCACGTATGTGAGCTTGCCCTTGGGGCCAGACACCTCAATAGTGTCGCCAATAGCCAAGCTCTCAAGGTGTTGGCTCATCTTGCCACCGTCCGGGAACTTTGGGTGCACGTTCTTGAAGTAAACCTTAATCACCAGATCCACGTAGCCCTTGGTGTCGTCCGAGCTCACTGGGGTGTACGAGCGCATCACCAGTTTGCCCTCGCTGTCGGTGTAACGTAGAGAGATGTGCTGACCCACAGGAAGTCCCAGGATGTGCTGCGGAGATGGCAAAGCGAAGCGGAAGCGACGCGTGTCATGTGATAGCGTCTGCTTCTCCACTAGTGGCAGATGTACGGTCGGGGGCAAGTCCCCCGGCTTAGCGGGAGCCTGCAGCGTCACGGGCGTCGAGTCTCGTGGCTTCAGATTCGCCAGCAACATAAAGATCGTCGTGCCTGCCACGAGCGCAACGCCCAGAAGCACGCG